CTTCATGTCTTTTGACTGTAATACTATTTGTATTTTTTGTTTGTTTGGTAGTCTTGTTAAGATGGTGTATAGCATCGCTGCTGATAAGGGTGACATGTTGGACTGGTCAGAACTTGAACATGCAATAAGAAGGAATTTTGGTGGTCTGGATGAGATCGATGCTGTGAAAATCTTTAAAGAGCGTGTAAAGAGCAGCTTCAACTATATTTTGGTAATGTTAAGTCCCAGTGCCCATATGATAGTCGGGATCGTTCCAATCGTCCAAAAACTCTTTTTGCATTCTACTTTCCTCAGGGAAATTAACAACAATGTAAATCACATTTTTGGGGAATCTGGATGATTTTAGTGAACTGCCTCACTTTTGTAACCAAATATGTATAGAACTATACTAGGAATGTAAAAACTCTTTTCTCCCTCCCGCAATAACCTCGTTTCTAAGCACTATATCTTTCCACTACAGTGCTATGTGGTTTACTTAGTCTTGAGTCTATAATGTTTTTTTTTAGGGAGGAGAGCCAGTTAAAACCCTGGACTTATTAAGAGCCAGTCTTGATCATADAAACGCCATTGGGTAATGTGAAATGTTTTAGAACGAATTCACTTAATCCGTGACACAAAACTTACAAAATAACTCACGGAATTRTGGTAACACTTTTCTTGTGTATTGTCTAATCAACACTATTTACTAGAAATTAATAATATTTGTTTCACGGATTTAGTGCACAAACTCTACCTGTTTTGTATARTTCTTAGCTTTGTTTGAAKAATGCCTTCTTTACGAATCTGCACTGTCCTACATATCTGATCTGTATTAACTTTCATCAGTGGTCAATGGATTGTTAGATTCTTCACTGTCACATACTMCCAAAAATCCTCGGTGCAGGCTTCAGCACTACTGTCATTAGGGTGCACTTTTATACTGAGTAACACTGATTCGTCTTTTCACAGGGAGAGTCGRTATYTRTTAGTGATCACAGAGAACTACTCAGCTCTGACAATTGTCGAACAGCAACTCATCAAGAATAAAGATGATTACGTGGTCATATTTGGAAGCAGTTTCCCTAAAGACCAAGAATATACACAAGTACTTTAATATTTTTATCAAATAATTAGATTAAATCAGATAACCAGTTCGTATTTTAATTGCAATGTTCAATACCTGAATATTCCAAGGTGAAGAGAAGTCTAAAGTTGAGCAATTATAATTTTTTTTTTCTCCAGGTCTGTCGAAACATCAATCAGATAAAGATTTGTATGGAAACTGGACGTACAGTTGTCCTGCTGAACCTAGAAAGCTTGTATGAGAGCCTCTACGAYGCTCTTAACCAGGTGAGGAATCGCACTTTCGCATTATATGCTTAAATAATTGTTTTCCTGAAGATTTTTGTATATATGGGAGCCTGTAAACAATGCTTATGCTGTGGAACAATGARTTGCACCTACAGAAAAGGAGGAATGGGACGAAAGGATCAAATTTATTCGAGGGAGAACTGCATGGTTGATTGTGGTAGATTTCGAGTATTGCTATAGGTTAAAACAGAGACAGGTGGGATTTGACAGGAAGAGAAATTCCCAACGAGTGAAATCTGTATTTCTTGTTTTTAGTACTATGTGTACTGCGCAGGTCAAAAGTATGTTGACCTTGGACTTGGTAGTCACCGTGTGAAATGTCGAGTGGATGACACGTTTAGGTAAGTTATCTGTAGTATGTATTTTTTTTGTCTTAGGCTTCTTTTTTTTCTTTTTCGTTGATCTTCCGTAGCCTCCTCCACAGGCAACTCTTTTTTCCTCCTTTGGGCTTCCTTTGTGACGGTCATAAACTGAAACTGAAACTGTTTTATTGCCCGTGATCTTTAGTGATGCCTGCGGAGGAGGTTAGATCTTTCGATGTGTTAGCAAACATTGAAAAAAAATACGCAGTCTAAGACTACATGTGGCTAGTGCTAGCTAGTAAATTAGAGATCATGGATTTGATATTTTCATGTGAGTTTTTGTTTTGCCAGAAATTTTTTTTTCCTGTCCAAACTTGGGTTCGTTGCGAATCAATAGCTAGAATAATGAGGTTCCTGTGGTAAGGAATGACGTGTAGATGGTAGTGAGGGAGGGTTGGTTTAGGTAATTCGTAGACAGTTGTGAGGGAGGGGTAGGCAGGATTGGTTGCGACGTCATCACAGATAATGACGTCATTACACAGGAAGCCCAACTATGACGAAAATTACGAATATATCCGAAGAATAATGAATATGTACCGGAGTAAAAGCGAGACAGTCACGAAGTTATCCCAAATTACATTCATACCACTTACAAGGCGATAGCATAGTGGCTTGAGCCTCGTTCCGAGGCACTAGCCACAAAAACTTTTTCTTTGCAATAGGTTGATTGTGATTGCTGAGAAGGATGTAGTCTACAAGAAATTTCCAATTCCTCTGATCAACCGCCTTGAAAAGCATTATCTTGTCACATCCAAAAGCCTGGAACGACCTCAATTAAATATTGTCGAGGAACTGAGAAACTGGGCACAAGAGTTTGCTGAAGTCCGTCGTCTTCGCCACGAACGTCAAGAGTAAGAAATGATCCATGCACTTATGCTGTTTTTATGGTCTCGTTTTGTAATTTGTACTGTACAGTAGCAGTTATATATCTTGTTTGGAAAAATCAAACTGAACAGAACATGTTTAACATTTGTTAGTATTGAGGTGTAAGAACTATGTGTTGTGGTCCAAATCGCTGCTTTTCAATGTGCAAAGAGCAGTTCAAATGCTCTTCAAAAATCTTGCAGGGTTAACATTTATTATCGAGTTAAAGACACGATTAATATTATTAAATTACATATTCAATTATGTTGTTTTAAATATTTTTTGTTSCAGACAATTTACAATCGCAGATGCGTTTATTGGTTATCAAAGTGATACACTGCCATCAATGGTCCTCCAGGTCAGCAGTGAAGATGATATCTGTGATCATAGTAATCATGAGTGGGCCGAACAGGTGAGTGGTCGCGAATATTGATTGCATCTATTATGAGACGTCCACACACAATTATTTCTTTCGAATTATTTATATTTTTAAGTCATTTCAATAAGCAAGCAGTATATTATTCAGATAATTTATCCAGATTACGTTAATAAAGTGTCATTCAAAGTGGTTCACTTTTAATCTGTTGTTCTAATTGTTTAGGTGAAAACAAAGTGCCAGTCTTTGTTACTTCAGACTGCCACTCCTGACGCCATTGCACGACTTCCAAAGACAGCATTAAAAGACAAAGCTGATGATATGAGAAGTTTGTACTTTGTGGAGCAAGAGCATTCAAGTCTGTCAGCATATCTTGGCCAAGTATTGTCATCATCTTCTGACGTCGAAAACCAAAATGGCTTACTTTTACAAGTATCAACTCATTCACGACTTCTGTCTGAGAACGATTTGCCTGAGATTTGTGACGCTATTGGTTTTAAGCGGCCCGATGTAAAGCTGTTGCATTTGCAACAGTTTCAGACAGAACAACAGTTCTTAAAGCAAATCAGGTATGCAGAATAATTGTGATCTGTTAACTATGCAACCGTCATAAACAACGTCTATTTTATACAGTTTTGTAATAACTTTGTATTTCTTAGCGCCCAAAAACCTATTAAAACTTGTCAAATCACTTCGTATTCATTGCTGTTGCAAATCTCAAGACAACAGTCGCATGTTTGCATTACAAGCTGTTGTTCTTTCCGTACTGCCCAATTATATCATCATGTTGACAATTTGTTTCTTATGTGAAGGGAATTTTTCATCGAACTSGCAAACTGYGAAGGCATAGTGCTTGTRCAATGTGATTCTGGTGATGACAATTTCAACCTAATAGCTTGCACTCGGCACTTGCTAATGGACCATCGGGTCAAACGACAAGAAATGTTAACCGAAAAACTTCAGGTAAAATATCTATTTTTAGCCGCTGTGTATTTTTTTGTGATTATTTACAGATGGTTTGGTCCGTTCCAAATGGTATAGTTCACTTGCAGGACATATGGACTGTGTTAATGGTTTTTTCTCTTGATAGCAAGAATTATACATTGTCATTATATATTTTATAGGTTGAGTATATCCGTCCTCTGCATTTCATCATCATTGTACAATTACCRCGTCTTAAAGGAGGATGTGTGAACTTCGTAGGATTCCAAGGAGGCCACTGGGAATCTGTACATGTRGATGACTTACGTCCACCATCCAATCAAATTCCTCCAATWGAATTCCTGATAGACCGTCCAATCAGTGATCTTCTTAAGCCAAGCTGGCTAGTCGAAGATGAAGACGTCGACACTGATTTAGTAGAACAAGGCCAAAACCTTTCACTTGAAGACATTGATGTGGACATGAGTGATGAAGTTAACGGAATGGAGATTGATGATGATAATGAGATGTTTAGGAGTACTCATGTGGCATCGCAGCCGGGGCAGAAAACCAGTAAAGAAACCTTTGACGCAATTGTTCTCATCCGTCGAAGCATCCAGGCAGCAGCAGGGAGACTTGAAGATGAAGCAGTCCTCGCTAAGAGAACTACAGACCGAATTGACTTAATTTTGAATCTTCTTCCCGAAAATTCTAGCAAGATAACAGGTGTGTGGGATTAAATGAGAAACTGGCGAAGCTTTATGTGTTATGATGACACGATTTTGTTAGAATAAGCGGTAACATTTTGCTAGCGCGTAATTCTCAGTGATATAACTATTTTATTAAAAATGGCAAATAAAATTAATTCTATACTGACCTTGTGTACTATTGTTTATACTTTATTTTCAGGTGGACCTTCATTTTCAAAATCCCTACATCAAAAAATTTACGAACTATTGCAGGAGAGAAACGAAAAGGTTTCTGGTACTGAGTTAGCCAGCTATTGGGTCCGAAACGAGGCATTATCTGGGACAAGAATGCATGAAAGAGGCACTTTCAGGAAAGCGCTCCAATACAAGGTGTTGTCAGAGATTGAACCACTTCTTGCAAAGGTTTTGGC